AGGTGAGGCTGCCTCTCTAACAAGGTGAGGCTGCCTCTAGAACAAGGTGAGGCTGCCTCTAGAACAAGGTAAGGCTGCCTCTCTAACAAGGTGAGGCTGCCTCTAGAACAAGGTGATACAGCAAGTTATCCAGAAGGATCTAGCTAAGGTCAGTGATGAAGATGGCTACACTTAATGACAGATTTTTAATATAGACAAAACAGACTTCTGTTTGAAGGAGAATTTTTATAGCTAGAGAGAAGTAGTAAATGCCTAACTTCAAAGCTTCCCAGGACAGGCTGACTCTCTTGTTAGGAGTTAATTCAGCTGCTGACTTTCAGTAGAGACCAAGGCTCATTTACTACTTGAAGAAAAATCCTAGGGCCCTTAAGAATTATACTAAATTTATTTTTCTTATGCTCTATAAATGGCACAAGGCCCAGTTTACAGCATATCTGCTTAAAGCATGGTTTACTGAGTATTTTGATCCCACCCTTGAGATCTACACTAAGCAAAATAGATTCCTTTCAAAATATCATTGAGCCCTGACAGTGTGTCAGGTTACTTAAGAACTCTGATGGAGATGTGCTGGGAGGTATTTTCATGTCCGCTAATGCAACATCTAGTAAGCAGGCCAGAGATTAAGGACTAATTTCAACTTTCAAATCTTATCATATAATAAATAAGTTTCGTAAGACTATAGTTGTGATAAATAGTGATTCTCTGATGGGTGTGAGCAATGTGAACTGGAAAACTTCTGGAAAGGATTCACCATTGTAGGTGCCATAAAGACATTCATGATTCGTACGAGGTGGTTAACACCAACATTAAGAGAAATGTGGAAGAAGTTTTCAACCCTCGTAGGTGACTTTGAGGGGTTTACGTGGAGGAAGTAACTGATGTGCTGGAAATAGCAAGAGAGCTGGGATTATCAATGGAGGCTGAACACACAACAGAGTTGCTGTGATCTCATAATAAAATGTAAATGAATGGGGAATCACTGCTGATGGATGAACAAAGAAAGTGGTTTCTTTAGATGGAATCTACTCCTGGTGAAAATGTTGTCAATATCGTTGAAATGACAACAAAAAAATTAGGATATATAGGCTTAGTTGATACGCTATATAGCAGTGGCAGAGTTCGAGAAGATTGACTCTAATTATGATAGAAATTCTGCTATAGCTAAGATGCTATCAAACAATTCACATGCTACAGTTTTTCATGTAAAGAAGAGTCAGTCAATGTGGCAAACATTTTTGGTTTTTTAGTCATTCATTCATTTTTTTTTTAGACAGAGTCTCATTTTGTCACCATCAGTAGAGTGCTGTGGCATCATAGCTCACAGAAACCTCAAACCCTTGGGCTCAAGTAATTCTCTTGCCTCAGCCTCCCCAGTAGCTAGAACTATAGGCACCTGTTACAATGCCTGGCTATTTTTAGAGACAGAGTCTCACTCTGGCTCAGGCTGGTCTCTAATTCCTGAGCTCAAGCAATCCACCCACCTCAGCTTCCCAGAGTGCTAGAATTACAGGCATGTCTGGCCTTTGTTATTTTATTTTAAGAAATTAATACAGCTACCCCAGTTTTCAGCACCATCACCCTGATCAGTCCGCAGCCAGGAAAATTCTAGCAAGACACTCCACCAGCCAAAAGATCAGGACTTC